AGAAATGTTATGATTAGTACATGAGATGCATGTATCAGTGGAAAAGCCGAAAATTGATTAATCATTATGTAAATTAGGTAATTAATAATATTAACAAATTTTTACCCAAACCTAACCAAATCTGCGCATTAGTTCAGTGCATCCATGTGCCAAGTTTCATTGAAATCCAATGACTGGTTCTTCAAATATCAGTGGAACAGTCATAGAACAGCTTAAAATCAGTTAATTATCATGCAAATTAGGTAATTAATATTCATAATTTTTTACCCAAAACTAATCAAATCTGCGTATTGGTTCAGAGCATCCATGTGCCAAGTTTCATCAAAATACAATGATTGGGTCTTCAGATATCAGTGGAAGAGTCTTGGAACAGCTAAAAATCAGCTAATTATCATGCAAATTAGGTAATTAACATTCATAGATTTTTACCAAAACCTAATCAACTCTGCGCATTATCCCAGAGAATCTATGTACCAAGTTCACCAAAATTTGATTAGTGGTTCTTGAGATAATGGTGGAACAAAAAAAGTGACATGCATACATACATACATACATACATATAGACAGACATACATATAGACAGACATACATATAGACAGACATATAGACAGACATACAGACAGGGTAACTGCAAAGACTCCCTTTTGTGCTTCGCACACGGGAGTCAAAAATATTTTATTTGATGCATCAATCAATCAACGTAAAGTGACCCCCGACCCCCAGAATATGCCATGAACTAGGAAAATAACTACACGTGGGGCAAACAAAAAGATTCACTACAATGCTTATCCTCTATCCCAATCCCCATCATCTGTCCATTTATTCTTGGGTTTCCAGTCTTACTTTTTTTGTTCATGAAACATTAGTGACTTTGATGTGTGATCCTGATGCGATTTTCTTTAACCCGAATTAACCTAAGCCCCTCATATACACACTAAGAATACAAGAATATTTAAAATAAGTTAATGCTTGGAGAATGGTATCAGCTGTTACATTCATACAATAGAAACCAAAGATTTAAATGGAACATCCTGTTATTTTTTAATTGAAGCCAGTAACTTAGAACAAACCTGTTAATCTGTTTTAAGTTTTCCTTGCTTTTGAAAAATGGTGATGAAACCATACGTTAGTAAATCCATCTCCCATAATTTCTGTATTAGAGAACATGGAAGCTAGAAACAAGTAATTAGGCGATGTATGCAAGTCAAAACCTGTGCTTTGTTGGGATTTAAGTACATCAAACTTGCATCATACTATCTATTGGGGAGTTACTGTACAAGCACATATCCTAAAGAGACGCAAGCAAGCCAAAATTATTTGTTTGGTGAATTTTATTCACAACACAAAAATATGCAATTTATCATATTGTCAACTCATGAGGTAATTACATAAGTGAATCAAATATAACAAATGCTGCACACATGGTGGAATTTTCTTCATGGTTGCGGAGGAAAAAATGAAACTGTCTGAATACTGGAAAAACGTTTCAATCTAACACGCATGAACTTGTTTGTATGCAAGATGTGAAATGAGCTCTTCTTTTTGTCAAATTATTGAATTATAACGTAAAAATCAATAACACAGAACAAGAATAAATCATTTGTCATTGTCAACACACAGCCATGGACAATTTTCAAAATTAAAATATATGCATAATCCTCAAGATAAATATTGAAATTAACACAGAAGTGTTTAATTAGTATTAAGATGATAAAGGACTTGAGATCATATTTTGGATAATTCAGGCGGAAGAAACCATGTAAAAGTGAAGTATGGAGTGGCAGATGGCATCAACACGACCTTGAAATCCAAGGCCTTGTACTGGTACACATCTAACTCAGCATATAACAGTAAAATTAAAATGTAATATTTGTTTTAGTTGGAAAACAAGGTCTAGTCATATCTCAGTGGATAAGAGTATGCCTTTATTATTTGGTGCTACGTACTTCAATTTGAGTGGAGTGATTCAAGAATTTCAAGCATTTTTATTATTTCGCTCTGAATACCCCCACCCCAGTGAGCGAACTGCTTGCTGTTAGGAAGCAGGCATAAAAAATACAACTGACTGAGAGGTCATGCCCTTTTGTTAACCTCTGCAACAATTAAAACAATTGAATTAGTCTGTTTAATCCACTCCCAAGAAAACAGTTTCACACTGTCTAAAACAATGGAAACTGAAAAACCATTTATTTTAACACTTGATTTTAATGGGTAGGGAGAGGAGATGGACATCAAACAAATATGAAGTATTATCAACTTCATCCAGCTTGCCTTCCTTCCCTTCCTACCCAGCTGGGTGACCGCCTCCCCTATAATATCATTGCTGGACTGTGCCGAGTGGTAATCACAACAATGTTCATACGAAATGCAAGAAATAAGCCTCATTTCACAAATTTATGACGATCATGCAATTGATTTAGATTAGTGTTTATCAGTAATAAAAATATTTTAAAAAAACATCTTCATCTCAGTTAAGTATTTGGCCATAATTATCAAATATTGAAGTACAGTACATAATTCAAATGAATGACTGTACATTTAATGACCTTCCTACGTGCATGAGTTGGTTCTACAAATGAATGAGTCATGAGATTCCCTACTGGCGACATGTTTATTTATAATAAACAGAATAAGGGTGTTTCTTTCGAAATTGACGACCTCTTGTCGAATTACACTGCCTGGTAAACGCAAAATTGTGTCGAATGTATCGGGGATTTTGCGATAAATCAGACTCGCACATATCTACACAATCTGTGAGAAAGTTTTTTTAGCAGAATTAATTTTAACTACGCCATAGTTGTTATAGGCTATGTCAAACGTCGTCACATGTACCGGTACATTACTGGGAAACCATGTGGGCCACGTCATACTACGATCGCGCATATACTGTCACTCTACAACGTAAAAATTGTAAACAAATAAGAGGAAAATCTTTTACATTGTCAATGTAAGGGATATTTTGATGGGGCTTGGGAGTAAATCTCATAAAATCGGCATATGCCGGGTACGGCTCCGGAATCTGCCCAGAAATTTGGTGTCGCAACACAGCGACCATTACTGTTTTATGCATATCATACACATTGATGAAACGTGTACTATTTTGAACGGTACACTGTACCTTACCATTTTCCTCGTGATACGTAGTAAGTACGAAAGTAGTTAAGGATACGGGTGGTGTCGTGGCTGTGTTGGTGCTTGGAGCTGCTGCTGTTGTGATGATGTTTTGCCCTTCTGTGACATTGCAACGTGAACGGAAATGCAGTAGGGCTCGAGACCCACGGTTCAATGGCTTGTTTCCAAGCTGAATCTCCTACGAATGAGAAAATAATCACACACTTACATGAGGAACTATCTTAACTTCCATGAGAACTGACCAAATTTTCAAAAAATCTTGTATTAACATGGGATGGATACGATATTTTAAAGTACATCATCGAATTCAATACCTCTTGCGATTAGCCGCAAGGGGACAAAAGTGCCGAAGCATACTCGGTAATTTACGGAAACCCGAGACACATAAATTAACCTTCGGAAAGAAAGGCATGACGTCATACGTACAATGTGCCACTGGTAACGTGGCTTGAATGTATGTCTCGCATGATTAATATTATATAACCTAACGCTTTTTAATACACGTATTTTTTTGTAGCAATAGTCACGTGACCTAAAAACAAATCATACTCAAATAATATAACTCAAAACTCCGGTTCTATGTTGACATTATTGAAACACTGACATCTTTTTTGATTTCATAAATTGTACGACTGTAGTGATATTTAATAGGTTTAATTGTGTCATTTTAATATGAAATAAAACAATTTAAATATTTATGTTATTACTTGTGATATGTTATGTATGCTAACTGAGTGTAACGCAAGAATGCGATCTGCCCTGGAGGAGAGAATCTGGACACGGTTTCTAGTTACTCAAACCAGTAATAACTAGTCTGAACTAGTTGTCCTGGTCTGATGGGGGGTACCATTTGTGTATGATCGAATGCGCTCATCCAAATTACAATATTATTTGTCGTTAGTTTAATATTTGCAAAAGAAAACTGTGAAAATGTAAGTAACGTTATGGTAAACTGCTCACATCATGAAAACAAAACATTCTCTATTGTTTTTAGTGTTTAACCTCCGGAACAAATAATGGCAGATGTACACAGTCCAATTTTAGCAAATACCTTTGTCGTTTTTTTGTCAAAAATGTTAATGTCGAGTTCTTGAAAACTGATACTTCTATTTATTTGATATTTAATATATGTGTACCTTAGATCGCGTGTTAGACTGTCGACAGTCCCTCTGCCCTAATGTGTTTTTCCAACTAGAATGATTGAATGTCGGGCGTTTGCGAGATGGCCAAGGCATTGCAAGTGAAGGCAATTAGCCTTACGGCCCTCGCTTGAAATATCTTCGGGATATCGCAAACGCATCGCGGTATTTGATTAAATCATTTTAATTAAAAAAAAACACAAAAAAAACATTAGGCCAGAAAGACTGTCGTCAGTGCAGTCACTTGTTGGTAATTTTTGGTCTATAGAGGGACTGTGGTCCAACTTAACCTACCCGATGAGTGCGTAAACAACAACAATTAACAACTTATTGGCAAATTAGCAGATACTAAATGATCAGTGGACTGAATAATCACTGGATTTTGATTACTGTATACTTATAATGATTTAGTTTTTCATTCAAGTTTTCTCACCAAAGTTGTGAAAGACAAACAATGCTGTGAGATCATAGCTTTTGTTCACGTTAAAGTTCATCGATCTCTTATTTTTACCTCCACAGTAAATTACAGAGTGTACTTGGGGTTTCATTTATTGCATGTTTAATATCAATATCCAAAGTATAACGTTTCTGTTATTGAATACTGTTCAGAGCAACTCAACATGGCCTATAAGGTAAATCCATTGTCTTGTCAACCATGGCATTTTCTTCGGACCACTTACTGCTAACCACTCTTGTCTTAATTATTTTAACAACATCGCTTACATTTATATAGTGAAGTTTGTTAACAGTTTTGTGAAGAGTGTTTAGTTATTAGTGAGTGAAAGATGGGCATAGAAATATATGTATGTGTGACGAAGGCAAGTTTTGGTTAAGAGTCGCTGGTGGCGCTAGTTTGATTCTGGTCATAAACTTGTGTTTGTTCTCGTATGTTTTTCGCACCGTTCACTTCATATCTACACTTTTAAACGTAAACAATAAAAAAAACTGTATTAACAGAATACACAAATTTAACAAAATCTTCATTGCCCCGTTCCCATTACGTCGTTCTAAAAACAAACGTATTTCCCTGTGTCAACGTTAGAGGGTTTGAGTGAAACAACGTTTGCCTAGTGACTCTGAATTCAATATTGATCGTTGAGTTGGAGGGTTCCTTTTGTAACCCGGATGTTGCAGCCATCTTTGCTCAAATCTCTCTTCCTGTTCTAAAGTTTCAGTTCAGTTTCAGTACGATATAGTCCAACATTGGTTTTAACCAAAATGGTAAGTTATATTTTCTCACAACTGTAGCAGTTTTCTATGTGTGAAAATTAGTTGTCAATCATTGATCTCATTTTTTTTCGGATTATAATGTATACCTGAGTGTTTCAATGCGAGCCGATATCCGACAGTTTTTGGGACCAAGTCCATCTCCAGACTATTTCCCATCTGTCGCTGATATCTATGCTTTCAACTGTTACAGTTTCAACGAAATAGTGCTTATCTCAATTGATGAAATTATATGTTGACGTGAATTAATGTTATTATCGTGCGACGACCAACATTTAACGAAAACTTTAAAATACAACTATACTCAAATTGGGCAACCCCACCCACCGGCAATCATCACGATGTTAATACTGGAGTCGTCAGAATTGACTGAACTTGATCGATGTAATACACTTAGTGGTTTGTTGGTTATATTATTTCCGCAGTTAAAAATAATGCCTTTACGTCATATGATTCATTTAGTTTTGGTGATTTAGTTTGTGTACATTTTTGAGGAAACCACTTTCTGACCATTGGTCAACATTTAGTATTAGCCATATCCCTTCGTGATATTGTTGTGATAACTACTGAATGGTGTTGCACTACATTATGGCCAACAAGCTGCAGGATTATACATAGAGTAAAGTCAGTTCTCTGGCTATGCATAACGTCAAGGGCCTATCAATATCATTACACTTGTTGATACATTTGCCATTCAAAACAGACTGAACAAATGTATACACATTTATACATTTGATGTATATCTATTGTTTTTTCCACTTTAATATGTTAATACAACTTTGAGTATATACTTAAAAAGGGGGTGTCATCACCTGCGCGTGTGTCAGATGGCCAAGTATATTGCAGATGACATTTAGCGTAGGTCACTTTCAAAATGGTATTGTGCAAACTGGGAGATGGTTGTTGGCACTTCCAAGTAATCAGTTTAAAGTTGAATTCAACTTTCATACGAGGTCAGTGGTGGGAAAAATATTTTATCATAATTAATGCCCCCCTGGTTAGATCACTGAAATTGTAATGAGATCGTGCAGAAACTGCTAAACTACAGCAAGGTTATAGCCGAAAAATGAAGAGAATGTTCAGGCTTGATGTAAGTCTGACATAGTAACTTTGATTAAGTCTTTTTCTTTATGCAAATGATGAAATTTTCAATCAATAAATGAAAAGTCAGATGTTCAAAAGTGTCTGTCTGAATGCTTGGTGCAGTGACATTGCATAACTCTAGCTAAAAGTGCCAATAATGAATGGCGTACACAAATTTTAGTTTCAATAACTTTGTAATTTGAATGTCATAAAACAAGCGATATATTGTAAAACGCACTATAACACTGCAGTTGCTTCATTCAAGGTAACTTGAACATCTTAAAAATAAATTGAGTAATAATTGTAACTGTGGAATGCAACATGACTGGATTTCGCTACCGTGATCATTTACTACTAAGGAATGCATTTGTGTTTGTTTTATTTTTCTATTGATTGTACGGCAAACTGTGAATGTTTTCCAAATTATGTTATTTTTTGTATAACTTTCTAGACTGTTTGAGAACAGGTCATTTACTTAGTATTTAAAATAAAGGCTACAGTGACTAAGCGTCAGACTGTAATTTGAAATATTGCCAATAATATATCACCAGAATGGAGCAAGAACAATGGCTTGAAACACAGTTGCCCAAATTTAACCACAAATAAGCCACCATGAACTGAAAATGTAACAAAGTGGTTCCTAATTGAAGACAAATACAGTAATGTACGACAACACCAATAAACAGTTGCATTTAAAGTGAAAAAGACGATATCTTTATATTTTGAAAAATATTTATTCTACAAAAAATTGACCATAAAATAAACATTGTGTGGCTACATTTGTCCTGGGTACTTATTTGTATTTT